AGAAGGGATTGTGGCATGGCCATCCCCCGGGGGGGTGATTTCTTGCTTTCTGTCTCTGTCTCTCTTTGTCTTTCTGGCGAGCGCTCTGCCCTATAGCAAAACTTCTCAAAAAAAAAAAAAATTACACACGAGGCTCAGTTGTGTAGCACATGCTGGTCCATGATGCTATTTGAACCCAGGCTGAGGCCAAGGGCTTGGGTTCAATCCCTGCCCACCCTAAAAAGCCAGACATGGTGGCTTATACCTGTGGTCCCAACGACTTGAGAGGCTGAGGCTGAGGCTGAGACAGGATTGGGACATGAACTCTGTCTATCTCTTAATCAATTAACAAATTGATTAGTAAATCAATATGCAACTGCCGTATGACCTACACCACTAGACATTCTTCCCAAAAGAATGGCATTTATTTATTTATTTATTTATTTATTTATTTATTATTTTTTGCTATAGTGCACATGCATTCACCAGAGAGAGGCAGACAGAGAGAAAAAACAGAGAGAGAGAAGGAAAGAGAGAAAGCAAGCCACCAGGTCTGGGACTCGAACTGTGATCAACCATGTGGAAGTCCAGAGCCTCAACCACCATGCCATCTGCCAGCCACATTCCAGAAGAAAGACCTTTTATGTTCACACACACGCACCTGTACAAGAATGTTCATTGAAGTTTATTTGCTGTAGTCTAAAAAGCAGAAACTACCCAGATATCTTTTGAAATGGGTGACTGCATGAACACATGGGACATCCTTATCTCAGAATCTCACTCAAAAAACGACTGATATGCACAATCACCCTGATGAATCTTCAGGAATTACTCTAAGTGAAAAAGAAAAAATAATTCTAAAAAGTTACAAACTGTATAATTCTATTTTATTTTTTCTTTACTTTTATCTGCATTTATTTTATGCTGACTTTATTCCCGTGCCATAAGCTTTTGTTTCTTCAATTTCTTCTGGGATATCTGTTTCTTCTGTGCGACTTCCTCTACTGGTTTAGGAACAATTTGCTCCTTTTCAGTGAGGATCATCCCTATGTGGCAGGGGGAGCTCATGTGGGGGTTAATCCGCCCATGAGCTCTGTACGTACGAAGCGTATCTTGGGTGCCTTGTTCACCTGAATGCGCTCCATGACCAGAGAATCTACATCTATCCCCTTAAGTTCAGCATTGCTCTCTGCATTTTTAAGCATGTGCAGCAAAAACTCAGCACTCTTTCTGGGCCGCCAACCTTGTGTCCAGCCCCACTGTGTGGCCTGATACATCACCCACTCCGCCATTGTAACGACGGAATGGCACACAGCTTCTGTAAAGTGACATCCTTCAGATTGTTGGTGGCTTTTTGAATATGCATACCCTGATGGCCTGAGCAATTTCACGAGTGTTCTTAAAGTGAACATGAAGATTTGACCCTCTTGATTTGCATAAATTTGTGGGGTTCTCTGGGTCAAGTGAATAGTGAAACATTTTCAAAGATAACCTCAGGCTGCTTAGGAGAAGAGCTATAATTCTATTTTTATAACACCTTGACTGCAACAAAAGTATAGAAATGGAGAGCAGATTTGTGGTTGTCAGGGACTGAGGAGAGCTAGACAAGGGAGTGGAGTGGATGTCGCTGTCAAAGAGCAAGGAGAGGGACGCTCGGGGTGATGAGAAGTTCGCTATGGTTACATGCTGGCTGCACTCCAGTACTGGAGGTGTGCAAGAGACCGCGCTGGAGAGAACTGGGTAAAAGATACACAACCCTCTGTTCTTTCTCACGACTGCATGGGAATCTACAGTTGCCTCAAGATAAATTGTGTAATTTCCGAAAATAGACAGTAGGGAAATAGATCGTGAACAACTTTACCATATAAATTCAACAACTGAGATGAAATGGCAAGTTTTTGAATGTCTAAAGAAATAAAGACACATACCTTATTTGTGGGACAAAAAGTCATTGCTGTGATAACAATTCTTTCCAAGTTGACCTAATTTAATCCAATCTAAATCAAAACTCTCCTAAACCTACTAGAGAAATGAATGAACAGGTTCTAAAATTCGTATGGAAATGCAAAGAACCTAGAATAGCTTAACAACTTTGAGAACGTGAGCAGCCATGGTGAGCTAACACTACTTGACTTCAAGATTATTGTAAGGCGTTAGTAATAAAAAAGTGTGGCATGATCATGCCAACCAAAAAAGGATCAATATAATGAAGTGGAGTCCAGACATATAAAGACAACAGATTTTTTCTTTTTTGCCAGAGGGTATGTACATTTTTCAGAGAGAGACAGAGAGACAGAGAAAGAGAGGGAAAGTGGAGGACACCCACCGTGGGAAGGCCAGGCTACAATCCCTTCTCCTTTCTTTTCTCCTGCCTTTTGGAATTTGGGGTAGGCCTGCACACATGCCCAACACGTTTCTCAAGCTACGGGGTCTAGAACTTGATCTGTGTAGTTAGCCTTGCAGGATCCAGCTGCCTTAACCACCCTGCCATAGGCTGGCCCAACTGATTTTTGACAAGTTGCAAAGGCAATTTAGTGGGAAAGGATAGTCTTCACCACAATCAATACTGGAACAATTAGATAGCAATATTCAGAGAGAGAGAGAAAGGAAAGATTGTCAATCCTTATACCACTAAAATGGTAACCTGCTACAAACGGACAAGGTATTTCAACATACATTTCACTAAAAGCCAAATAAGCATATAAAAAGATACTCGCCATCATTCGACTTTAGGGTGAAGCAAAGTAAACCACAATGAGATACCACTGCAAATGCCGGTTAGAGCGATTACAATGAAAAAGGCTGGGCCAGCCATTAGTGTGGTGGGTCAGACAGCTGGATCCCCATGGCAGACCACACAGTTCACATTCTAAATGCAGTGGCTTGAAAACATGCTCTACATGCATATGTGTGTGCGTGTGTGCCCAAATCCCAAAGGGAAAGATGGAGGAGAAGGAATTGTGGTGTGGCCATCCCCCAGGAGGCGGAGTTTTCTTGCTTTCTCTCTCTCTCTGTCTCTCTGTGGTGAGAACACATGTACTCTAGCAAATTCAAAACAAATAATTTTAAAATTTTGTAAAAATTAAAAGACTATTTATAGCAAGTGTCACAAGTATACAGTGGAGCTGCTGGTAGGAATACAAAATAACAACCTCTTGGGAGAACAGTTTGCAATTTTTTTGTTTTGAGAGGTTTTTGTTACAAGGTGTGTGAGCTCACCAGAGAGATAGAGAGACAGAGAGACAGAAAGCGAAAAATCACCTCCTCGGGGTGGGGGGGGGGATGGCCATGCCGCAATCCCTTCTCCTCTCAGGATTTTGGGCACACAAACACACAGGCCCAGCATGAGTTTTAAACTGCCAGGTCTGGGACTCGAATTGCAGTCGACGACACGGGAGTTCAGTGACATAAGCATTACGCCATCTGCTGATCCCAGTTTGCAGTTTCTTAAAACGTTTTACATATGCTGATCATAGGCTTCAGCTATTTCACTATGAGACATTTCCCATGGGAAAAGAAAGGATATGTCTATACAAACAATTGCATACAAATGCTCAGTAACTTCCTCTATTTAGCCCCAAACTGAAAACAATCCAAGTGTCCATCAACAGGAAACAGATAACAAATTGCAGCAGATCCATGCAATGGACTATTACTCTACTATCAAAAGGAATGAGCTATGGATGTGCACAACAACATGGACCAATCTCAAGATAACAACACCGAAGAAAGAAAGCAGATGGGGCCGGCAGGTGGCATGGTGGTTAAGCACTGGACTCCCGCATGGCCAACCACGGTCTGATCCTGGACCTGGTGGCTTGCTTTCTCACTTTCCCTTTCTGTCTCTCCCTGTGCCTCTCTCCAGTCAAATTAAAATAGTAATAATAATCATAATAAAGTGAAATAAGCAATTCTTTATTTTAAAAAAGCCTACATAGTGTATGATCTCATTTATTCAAAACTCTAGAAGATGCAATATAACTTACAGGGACGAAAAGGCCAGCGTGTGTGGGATGGGTAGGGAGGAATGACGATGAGGGCGGACGAAAGGCCACAAGAAAGTTTCAAGTGCAGTACATGGTCACGATCCTGGCTGTGGTGCTGGTCTCGGGGATGTATGCGTGTGCCAAAACATATAACAGGTATACTTAAAATCATCCAGCTTAGCATATGTCAATTACAACTCAGTAAAGCCATCTTTTAAAAAAGGGATGTGTGCTTGGCCCAATTCCGGCCAATGAAAGTCAAAGAAAATTTTGCTGAAGGCTTTGGGAAAATCCTTCTTTGTTCTTAAAAAAGGGTCATAAGGGCCAGCAAATGGCATGGTGGTTGAAGCACTGGACTCCCACATGACTAGCCATGGTTCGAGTCCCAGACCTGGCAGCTTGTTTTCTCACTTCCCCTCTCTCTCCCCCTTTGCCTCTCTCTGGTGACACACACATGCCCTATCACAAATTTAAAACTAAAATAATTCTAGAAATAACACCCTGCTTTCTTTTGAAAAAGTCATAAAATCTCTCAATCTCTCTCCCTCTCTCTCTCTTTCTCTCTCTCTCCACCGCACACACACTCCCTCCCTCTCTGTTCTCTGCCTCTCTCTCTATCAATATAAAGAAGACAGTGTGTTGTCTGTTTTATACCTGAGAGTCATCTTTTGACCAAGAGGTCAAGCATCTTCATGCTTGACCTGTCCTGCTAACACAGAGACATAGAAGCAGGAACCAATGTTTGCAAGGGGGACAGAGCCAAATTCTTGATTGCATTAGATCTAAAGTCTTCTTTATCCAAAAATTTTCAACTATGTGACCTGATAACGACCCAACAATAGTTAAATCATTTGGAGTCAGGCACACACACACCTGGCAGGGAGAAGATGTCCTGCAATGTAAGATACGCGCATCTGAGAACATTAACAGTTGGCAACAGGCATGAGCATTCCGAACGGAACCCTATTCTGATACGTAGTTAAATTACTTATTAAAAAAAAAAAACTTACTGTAGTAAAAATCTAGAATGCTTACAGGTAAAGCTGATACGCGTGTCTGCCGAGTGGGGTCACAGGTGCCTCGTCGTAGCAGGCTTCCGCTGTTCACACGCTTCCGCCATTCCCTCTTTCTCCTTTTGAAAATGGTGCCCTCATTTCCTTTCAGCAAGCTGCCGATCTAGCACTCTAATTCACGTCTCTCAGAGGAGACAGACTCTCCTTGTCACTGGTAGTGGGCACATAATTCAAAGAGGGTTGTGAGAAGATGTGAACTAAGTCCAAGCCCCAGAAATTCCCCTCAACTGCTTTTCCAACAGGAAGAAGCTAGGGTAGGTAGGCAGAGAGGAACCTGAAGGTTGCACGTGAGGTCACAGGTCTAGGATGTCTGAAAGGAGAGAGAGAGAGACTCTCCTCTGTTTTGGGTAAACTGGAGAGTCCTGTCTTAGAGATGCCTGAAATAAAGATCTACTTTTGGGGCTCTCAGTGAAAGACAGCCCAGGAAAACCTGTGACTCCCTCTAGGAAAAAGCCACCTGTACTTGTGTATGTGAGTGCCCGTGAAGGTTGCCCTAAGTCAACTGGAGGCAGGTCATGCAGTGGGGAACTGCACCCAGGAGACGGACTGCTCCGAGCCCTGAGGCTCAGGGAGAGTCCTCATCGCGCCTAGTGCGATCTGGGAGAAGACTTCCTTCCAGGGCTTCAGCTGGGTGCTGACAGATTGCCAGCTGGTTTCTGGCCAGCCCACAAGTAAAGAAACTTTCCCCCTGGCAGGTTTGCCACAGCATGAAAGACCCTAATACTTGGTCTGTAATTATAGGTCAGTGTGTACAGAGCCTGAGGTCTGAACAGGAAATGGAAAATAACAACTTGCCCTGGTAGTAGTAACAACACTGAGAGAAAAATCAAGATAAACACTTCAAACAGGTGTTGCATTGAAATAGAACTGCTGGAAGAGTTAGATAAAAACTTTTTTTAAAAAGTAATAAATTCACTCATTCACCCAATAAGGTAAAATTACAGGTTAAGAGATTAATAGTTAAATGTAGGCTAGATGCTAGGGCTAAAAATAATTTTAAAAACCATTTAAAACAAATGTAAAGATGTGTGTTTCTCACAACATGCCCCAACTGATTGAAAAAACTAAGATGCCATAATACGTAACATTTTTTTTAAAAATTAACATGTTGCTTAGCAGGCTTAAAAGTCAGGAATTCATGTTTTCAAAACTGAAAACCTGAGGGAATTGTGGAGAAATTATCTGTCTAGTGCTTGTCATGGGATAGAAAGAAAAGAACCCCTCCTCACCTGTGAATTCATAATCACTCATGTTACACATGGCAGTCACAGACATTCGAGTAAAGAATTTAAAGTGTCCCCAAGCTAATAGCGCACCCAGGGTAGAGGCCAAGGAATATAAATGTCTGTTAGAGTACTCAATTTCAACCCAAGCTTCAAAGAATTGTAAAAGGCAGTTTCAAGAAATGTTGGGCCAGCCTGTAGCCTGGTGATTAAAAGAGCTGGATCCCCCATGGCTGACCACCTGGTTTGAAGTCCCAGACCTGGCAGTTTGAAAAACATGCCAGAGTAACATTTTTTTTAAAAATTAACATGTTGCTTAGCAGGCTTAAAAGTCAGGAATTCATGTTTTCAAAACTGAAAACCTGAGGGAATTGTGGAGAAATTATCTGTCTAGTGCTTGTCATGGGATAGAAAGAAAAGAACCCCTCCTCACCTGTGAATTCATAATCACTCATGTTACACATGGCAGTCACAGACATTCGAGTAAAGAATTTAAAGTGTCCCCAAGCTAATAGCGCACCCAGGGTAGAGGCCAAGGAATATAAATGTCTGTTAGAGTACTCAATTTCAACCCAAGCTTCAAAGAATTGTAAAAGGCAGTTTCAAGAAATGTTGGGCCAGCCTGTAGCCTGGTGATTAAAAGAGCTGGATCCCCCATGGCTGACCACCTGGTTTGAAGTCCCAGACCTGGCAGTTTGAAAAACATGCCAGACACATGTGCATGCATGCTCAAAATCCCAAAATAAGGGCAAAATGGAGAAGAAGGAATTGTTATATGACCACACCCATGAAGGGAGGTGCTTTCCGTTCTCCCTCTCTCGCTCTGTCTCCCTGGTGAGTGCCCAGGCCCCCAGGCAAGTTAAAAAGAAAAAAGAAATGTAAGCAATGCATTATTTATAATTCAGTTGATGTATTAAGCAGTATATGAAACGTAGCTGAGAGAGTTGGTGAACTAGAAAATAACTGAAGACATTACCCAGAATGCAATCCAAAGAAATAACAACACGAGAGAGGTGAAGCACTGCAGAGTGAGGGCTAACACATACCTGTCTAAATTCCAGAAGAAGAGACGAGAGAAAATGGGAGATAATATGGGGGGGGGGAGACTAGGAATTTTTCATCATGTCAAATATATCAAATCTCGAGACCCAGGAACTTATATAAAACCCAGCCCCGTGGCCTGGTGGTTAAGGCAGCTGGATTCCACATGGCCAACCACAGAGTTTGAGTCCTGGTGGCTTGACAGACATGGCAGGTGCATGCACTTGCCCAAAATCCCGAAAGAGGGAGAAATGGAGGAGAAGAGATTGCACTGTGGCCATTGCCTAGGGGGATTCTCTCTCTCTCTCTCTCTCTGGTGAGTGCACCCAACCTCTGGCAAAATTAAAAACAAAACAGCTAAGCTGATCCAGCTTATTTCAAACAACCATGAAACTAGAGAATGAAACAAGATCTTTAATACGCCAAGAGAAAGTAACGCCTCGGCTACACAGCATCGCCTGTATATGCCCTGACGGGACCACTGTCACACATGCAGCCGCCGTCGACGAGATGCAGCCACGAGGCACACGGCTGTACTCCCAGTACTATTCTGGAGCCGCCTTGCTAGGCTCTCGGCAGGAACGGTCCCAACCCCAGTCTCAGCACGAGGTGCTCTGAGCCGCAGGGGGCTTCTGTGTGAGGAAAAACACTGGGACACGACTTACCTCCTCCATGGTGAGTGAGGGGGGAGTGCTGTAGACTCGTGGGGCTGTTGGGGAATGTGACACTTTCAGGAGATGTCTTCAGATCTGTTGAAGAAAGTTTGGAGTGAGATTGTGGGAACCCCTAACCCTGGTGGTCCTGAGGCTGTCATGCAGCGAGACCCTCAATTTCTGGGCAGATTTGCGACAATATTCTTAAAAATCTTGCTGCCAACATGATGGCTGCAGCTCTATTATACTAGATGTTATTGCTATGAGTACTTTCGGAGTTTTTTTGGTTTTTTGTTTGTTCGTTTGCTGGTTGGTTTTTTTGTTTGTTTGTTTGTTTTGTTTTGTTTTGGTTTTTGGTTTTTTTTTTTTTTTTTTTTTTTTTTTTTTTGCTATAGGGCGTATGCGTTCGCCAGAGAGAGACAGAGAGACAGAAATTGAGAAATCACCGCCCAGGCGGGGATCCCGTAATCCCTTCTCCTCCATTCTCCTCTCGGGATCTTGGGCACACACACACGCACATGCTCCCAGCGTGAGTTTAAGCCACCGGGTCCGGGACTCAAACCGCATTTGATTACATGGGAGTCCAGCGACATAGCCATTATGCCATCTGCTGGTCCCAAGTTCTTTCAGAGTTTTATGAAAGCTTGTCAGGAGACATATACATGCAAAGGAATGGTTATGATATTGAAGAGATGCAAGTAAGCATCAGACCACCACTTTCCGACAGGTTTGACTGGCAGATATGAACACTCTCAGAGGACCAAAGATCTCTCCATGAAAACGAGAAATTGGCAGCTGACTCAATGGGGTGGGCGATTACCAGGCTGATTTCACTCAAAACAGTTTTGTTGGCTTCATGTAGCATGACGGATCCCCTGGTTTACTGCGGACTGGTTTTCCTGGAGAAGGAACCAACTGTACTAAAACCAAGACAGTCGGCAGGGCAACGGGCAGACTGGGGTGAGTCGGCCCTTTAACTCCCTAACTCCATGTCTTCACTGAGATCAGTAAAAGGTAACCTCTGTGTGAGGGTTGAATTGCACACCCCCAAAATTCATACCCTGAAGCCCTAACCCCCAGTACCTCAGAATGCAGCTATATTTGGAGACACCGTCTTTAAAGAGGGAAATAAGTTAAAATGAGGTTATTAGGAGAGCCGTAATCTGATATGACTGGTGTCCTCATGAGATGAAGAGGTTCAAACACAGACCTGCCAAGGGACGACAATGTGAGGACAGGGGAGGGTGGCCATCTCCAAGCAGAGGAGAGGGGCTTTAGAAGAAACCTGGGACCAGCAGTTGGCATAATGGCTACGTCACTGGACTCCCATGTAGTTGACTGCGGTTTGAGTCCCAGACCTGGTGGCTTAAACTCATGCTGGGCGTGTGCGCGTGCGTGCCTGAGATCCTGAGAGGAGAATGGAGGAGAAGGGATTGCGGTGTGGCCATCCCCCCTAGGGGGTGATTTCTCGCTTTCTGTCTCTCCTTCTCTCTCTGTCTTTCTGGCGAGAGCATAGCAAAAACCTCTCCAAAAAAAGAAGAAAGAAGAAAAAAGAAAGAAGAAAGAAAGAAGAAGGAGGAGGAGAAGGAGAAACCCATCCTGTTGAAACCTTGATTTTGCAATCCCAACCCCTGGAACTGTGAGGAAATGCATTTCTAGTGTTTAAGCCGCCCAGACGGTAGTCTGCACCCTAATAAGCACACTCCCTGAGAAGCCGTTCGCGCTCAGTCTGGTGCCTTTTTTCACACTTCTCTCCTCCTGCTTCCTTCTCAGTCAGGGAGACCCACCACGGCCCCTCCCTGGATTGCGACTCGCATCTCCCAGGGCTCCTTTCTCCTGGTACTCGGCTCCCTCGTTAATCTCTCTCCCTAACTATATTAGCTCAGAAAACTTTCTCTCCACATTTCCACATTCCCTTAATCTTGGCAGTCCATAAACGTGAGTCAAATAAATGAAGAAACACATTAACTTCTTTTCCTTCCCTTTTCTCACTCCAAGCTCTTGGTGAGATTCCTTCGCAGTCCCTGCCTCCTTTCTCCATTTTCCACCCGCCTGTCGTATAATCTGGTTTCCCGACTCTTGTCATTATCTTGAAACTACTCTGAACAGGCGGTATCGGATCAGATCACAGGCACTGCGCTGGTGCCCCTGGGAATTAACTGTGTTCCCTTTCCTTCCAGGAAGAGTGAGCAGGGGGGTGGGGGGGCCTGCTTCCTGTCCTTAGCCGCCCCAGTGCTCACCAGCTGCTTTGAGTAGGGCTCCATAACTCCCAGACCTCGCTGTCCCTGCTCTCCCTCATCCTTTAGGAAATGTCCGCAGTACCCAACCCTGCTGAGCACTCTCTGGCCTTGAAAGTCTCTCTTCTCTGCCTTCCCACGCCTTCCCGCCACGGTTCACGGCGCACCAGGTATCTTCAAAGCATCTCCTTCCCTCTCCCTCATCAACCCTAACAATAAAGTCATTTGTCAAATCGAATTTCTGCCCTTGACCCTCTCCTCTCGTGTCTTTGGTCATGAATATTTCAGAAATCCTCTTGTGACGACCACTGCATCCTTGCAGTTACCTCCGGCTCCAGATCTCAGCTGGACGCTCACGTGGATGTCTCACGGGCCTGTCACACAGAACACGCCTCCGACGGGATGCAGCTGTTCCCACAGGTCTTTCTCTGAGTGTTCCCCTTATAGCCACCCAGACTAGAAAATTCCAAGCTCTCTACGGGTCTTCCTCTCACTCAGAGTGCACCTATAGTCTGCAAACATGTCCCATGGGCCCTATCTTCTAAAACAATCTCTTACTTTCTTCTTTTCGTATCATCGGGCAATATTTTAGTGTAGTGACCAATAGTACGGATACTGGAGCCAAATCAACTTGGCTCAAATCCTGACTTCTCAGTGAATTACAAGTTATGAAAACATAGGAAAATCAATCAGTTTCTCATCTGTAAAGTGGATCTAATAATGATGACATACTTTATATGATTATCTGAGAAGAAAATAGGCTAATACATGGTGCTATGGTTGGAACGTGCCCCCCCCACACACACACACTCATACGTTGAGATCTGTTTGCTATTAGTGACAGTATTAAGAGTGTGGAAACTTAGGACCAACAGTTAGCGTAATGGCTATGTCACTGGACTCCCATGTAGCTGACCATGGTTCAAGTCCTGGACCAAGTGGCTTAAACTCATACCGGGCATGTGTGCATGCGTGCCCAATATCCCAAGAGGAGAATGAAGGAGAAGGGATTGTGGTGTGGCCATCCCCCCTGAGGGGGTGATTTGTCGCTTTCTGTTTCTCTGTCTCTCTCTGTCTGGCGAGCGCATGCGCCCTATAGCAAAAACCTCTCCAAAAAAAAGAAAAAAAAGTGTGTGGAAACTTAATCCAGCCATGGAATTAAGAGGTGGGACATGGGGAGGTAATTAGGATTTGACAAGGTCATCAGGGTGAGGCTCCCATGACTGCATATTCGTGGCTTTATAAGAAAAGAATGAGAAAAACCAGAGCCAATCCAGTGTTCTCACCACGTGACGCCCTGGAGGGTCTCAGGACTCTGGAGAGAGTCCTAGCAATGAGAAGATCCTCATCAGGTGGAGCTCCTCGACCTTGGCCTTCTGGAACTGTGAATCCAATAAACCTTTATTTTCTTATGAATTACCCAGTCTGTGGTTTTCGGTATAGCAACATGAAAATGAACTAAAACACACATGGAACAGATATGAGCTGCATACTCACCTGACTTATTCTCTCCTAAAAAACCAGCAAATCTAGTTCCTAGGTCACTTATATCGACGTAGGACCATGGGATGTGAGCGGAAGTGTGGTGTCATTTCCAGTCAAAGGCAGTGAAAAGAAGGTATGCTTTTCCTCTGCTCTCTCTTCCTTTCCTGAGACAACCTTGGAAGAAGCACACAGTGACAGTTAGATCATGAAAGGATTTTGAATCCCTGAGTCACTCATGTGGGAGGTTGCCCCATGGAACCCTAGAGCTGAAGCTTCTGGAATGTGAAAGATATAAACATGTACTGTGTGCTTATGGGTAAATGGCTACTAGCATTATTAGCGTTTCTTTCACTTACATTATACGAGGATCACATGAAAGGTCAACTCTTTCTTGCCTGAACCTTTAATGTACTTAGCCCATTCTGCTACAAAACTCTGCGTCATGCCCAGTTGTAATGTCAGTAAGTTCTAAGGTGATTATTGTTGAGACAACAAAAGAATATTATCTGTGATCCCCAGAAAGAGGAAAACAGCATAGTAGGAAAATTCCATTCCTTCTTTACTCCTTCGAAGGGGCAGCGCAATGTGAGGACTTCTACAACTTGTACAGGACCACAGCTTCTTTCTACCACCTGATCCTTGACCCCTGAATACGCTGTCAACTTGATGCAGGCTCAAATCTGGCCTTGCTCCCCACTTAATATATACCGAGTGTCCACACTGTGACTGAAACTGATTGACTAAAAGATGTACAAACACAGAGGTGGGTGTGAATGCCAGATGTGGTGTGTGTGGAGGAGGGGGGCCTGGGAAGGACATTGGAGGAGGGATACAGAGACAGAGCATTGGCGGGATGGGGACGTGTGGTGTTATCTGTTGAAGATGTTTTGCTCAACTGGACTGGGGAGAAATGTTCACATACTGAAATATTCACTTTGTAAGCTAAACAATGCGATTGGATATATATAAATTAATTAATTAATTAATTAATTAAAAAAAACTTTAGGGAGATAAAAAAAATATCTGGCTTTGCCATGCCCTCTCCTTCCTGAGTCCACATATTGAATATGTTTTCTGTCCATTTCTTTGCTGAAACAATATATATTTCTCCTATTTTCATGGGGCCATTTATGTACATTTTTAAGAAAAGGATAATTACAGTCTTTTTGAAAATATTGTTCTTTATTTTTTTTTCTTTCTTTTTTTGGAGAGGTTTTTGCTATAGGGCGCGTGCACTTGCTAGACAGACAGAGAAAGACAGAGAGACAGAAAGCAAGAAATCACCCCCCAGGGGCGATGGCCACACCACAATCCCTTCTCCTCCACTCTTCTCTCAGGATCTTGGGCACGCACGCACATGCGCCCAGTGTGAGTTTAAGCCACCGGGTCCA